CCCAGGACATTCCAGATATTATAATTTTCAACATAACAAAAAGTAATGATGTCTTTTACATTCTTTTGCATTATCATCAATATTTGGTATATATTTTACACTTACAGCACATCTCAGTTTGAACTAGGTACATTGTACCATATTGTACAGCACAGTTCTGGACTTCTACACCAGGTTTCTCAAGTGGGACATATCAAACAAGGAGTGAAACAGAGGGCTGTGTGGTTCAGAAACCACTACTGTAAGCTTTGGGATCCAAGTGGTATGGATATGCCATTTCTAAGACGATAGACGAAGCCAGAAAGTATTTTCTTAAGAAGATATATATTGGCCACATAAGCCAACTTAGAGCAATAGCATTAGCTGTGTTATTTAACCCATTGTTAACTGCATAGACAGCTGACTGACTTTAAAGAACCAATAGAATTTGGAGTTCTGACAGAGCCAGATAAAACTTGGAATAGGCAAAAATTTGAATGTAAGTTATCCACAGACACTACTCACTTTTGTGAGGTATCTCCTGCCTTCTTCTCAGTCTCTTCCTTGGTGACACTATTTGGTGATTCCTTATTTAGCCTAAATTATATAATTAACTAACTATATATATATATAATTATTTATATATTGTTAGTTTTATATATAGTGACCCAGGGAAGTTATATCTTTGTATTTGGGAAATGTGCCCGTGCACATTGTTTCATAGCTGTGTACTCTCGTGTGTGAACTTATCAAACTAAATTTCGTCATCTATCTTGAAGTAATGTAACTACAAACCTATAATTTACTCTTCTTTTAAGCTCTTCCTTCTGATAAACTTATCTATTTATGTTGGGTCTAATTATAGCTCAGGGTGTAACCATGTTTATTATTCATCTGAATGAGTGAGCTTGTCTGGCAACAAGGAGCTGCTGTTGCCAAAGCTTAATTGTCATCTGGCCTGAATATGTCCTGTCTGTACTTCATTGTCAGCTCAGGAGAGGTCAGTAAAGGCGAAGATGGGACAGGAATACTGTATTTTGGTCTGTTGCACCACTGCTTCTCAACATATTTCAACATTCTGCGATAGACTTGGTTAACTGTGATTTTATTTTTTCATCTTTTTTAAATAAGAGAAATTAAACATTCGAGATGAACTTGAACTCTCCTTCATTCCCTATCTCCACATCTATTTTTTTCTTCACACCACCCACTCTGTCTTGTTCCTTTCACAGCCACTGTCATGAATTCATCTTTCCAGTTCATTTCTTAAAAGATTTTGGTATAGATATCTATCTATATACAATATAAAATAATTGTTCTCTGTTTCTGGTTTATACAGGAGGATCACAACTGTACAAATATGCTGCACTTGCTGTTCTCACATAACATTTTGATAGACTTTTTTGTCATACTTTTTCCCAGTATAAAAATTTGATACATATATATAAGAACATATTTAACATGTAAGTTATGAAACCTAGTCATAAAACAGTAACACTTGAATTTACCTTACATACTGAGAAATAGAACATTACCAGAACTATTGAATCTTCTGTGTACCGTTCCTCCACCCTCTGATTCCATCCAGGAAACTACTCTTGAACTTAGTTCTCATTTGTTTCCTTGCCTTAATCATAAGTGTGTGTCCCTCAACAGTGTATTTTCTTATTTATTTACTTGTTTTTAAACTTTGCAGAAATAATTATGTATTCCTTTTAGGTGTGCTTTTTATTTCAATATGATATTTTTAAGATTCATCCATTTAGTTTATATATTTTCACTGTTTATGTAGTATTCCTTTTGGTGAATTTATCCATCTTTCTATCAGGGGACATTTGCATTGTTCCCAGTGTTGATATCTACAAATGGTGCTGCCATGAACATCCTTGAACATATCTTCTGATACACATATATAAAAATTTCTCTGGACTATGTCCTAGGAATGCAAATACTGTGTTGTGATATATGAGTATATATATTCAACTTAAGTAGGTGAGTCCACATTTTTATCTGAAGTGATTGAACATATTCATCAGCAGTGTATTGGAGTTCTTGTTTTTCCACATCCTCATCAACACTTGGTTTTGTCAGGCATTGATTTTTGCTTATATGTTTTAAAAAATAATATCACATTGTAATTTTATGTTTCATTTTTCTGATTTTAATGAAGTTGAGCATTTTTATATGATTATTGGTCATTTGTGTTTCCTCTTTTTGAAAATGCCTGTTGATGTCTTTTTCTTGTTGATTCATAGGAATTTGTATATTCTGAACACTAGAATGTGGTCACTTTTATATGATTCAAACTTCTTGTTTCACTGTGTGGCTTGCCTTGTCAGTCTTTTTAGTCAGACTCTAAAACATTTGACTTTTGCCCTGGCTGGTTTGGCTCAGCAGTTAGAGTTTCAGCTCGTGGACCAGAGAGCCCCGGGTTCGAGTCCCACTAAGGGCACATACCTCAGTTGCAGTTTGTCCCCAGCCCAGATTGGGGTCGTGTGGATGGCAGCCACTCAATGCGTCTCTCTCACATCGATGTTTCGCTTTCTCTCTGTCTCTCTCTCTCTGTCTCTCTCTCTCTCTCTCTCTTCCTCTTTCTCTTCCTCCTGTTCTACCTGAAGATGGATGCAAAAATGTCCTCGAGCGAGATTTAAATAAATAAATAAATAAAATAAAACATTTGACTTTTGCATTTAAGTACTTAATTCATCTGCAATGGAGGTTAGTATATTTTTTTGAGGTAGAAAACCAATTTTCCTGTTTTCCAAATACAAAAACTGTTTCTTAGCTCCTTCAGTTCTGATATATATCAGATTTCCATATGTGCATGGAAAGGTTTAAGGTTTTTTTGAGCTTCCAAACATATTTTAGAATCAACTTGTCATGTTTAATTTAAAAAAAAGAAAAAACTCTTTCGGACTTTCTATTAGAATTGTATTGGATCATTTTGGAGGAAATTGACTTTTGTAGTGTATTGGGTCTCTCTACTCATAAAGTTTGCATCCCTTGTTTATTTCAATAAGTTTTATAATTTTCTTTATAATAATCTTATTTTTTTTTTTTTTTTTTTAATCCTCACCTGAGGACATTTTTCCATTTTTTGTTCAGGTAGAGGGTGGGGGGGGGAGAAAGAGGAACAGAGAGAGAGAGAGAGAAACATCGATGTGAAAGGGACACATCGAGTGGCTGCCACCCGCACAACCGACCAGGGCCGGGGACAAACTGCAACCGAGGCACATGCCCTTAGCGGGAACCGAACCCGGGTCTCTCAGGACCGCAGGCCAACGCTCTAACCGCTGAGCCAAACCGGCCAGGGCTATAATAATCTTATTTTTATGAAATTTATTCATAGGTTTATTTTTAATACTGTAAAAGGTATTTTAAATACATTTTCTAATTTTGTTGCTGTATTAAAATGCAGTTGATTTTTGCATGGTGATCTTATATTCAGCCACTTTGCTATACGCTTTTATTACTTTTAGGAAATTATCTCGAGATTTGGGGAGTTTTTTCTGTGTACATAAATACTGAAAATGTTAACAGTTTTATTTCTTTCATCTCAATCCTTATACCTTTTTTTTTCTTGTGATTGTCATGCCTGGATGAGTATGATCTCTAATACAGTAATGATTCGAAGTGGATATTGCAGGCATCCTTGTCTTGTTCCTCAATGTTAAAAGGGTGTGTTTTTAATATTTTACCATTGAATGTATTACTGGCTTTAAGGCTTTTATAGATGCACTTTATCAGGTTAGGTTAAAGAAGTTTCTTTGTATTCCAATTTTGCTAAGAGTTTTTATCATGAATAGCTATTATTATAGCCTACTGGATACTTTTCTGCATCTGTTGAAATTATTGTTTTTTTCCTACTTAATCTCTTAATGGGGTAAATTACATTGATAATTTCTGTTATTAAACTACTTTGCATTCCCAGAATAATTCCAACTTGGATAAGATGCATGCATTTTTGATACACTGCTCAACAATGCATTTTTGTAGATATAAGCTAATTTCAAAATGAGAGAATAGAAGCTAAATCTCTATTGACAATAAACTCTTTCTCAAACACCGTAACAGGGTTGCACACTTTGCTAAAGGGTGTGAGGATAATTTCTGGCTGTTAGATGTAGGTATTAGCTTGGTATAGCTAAAAGGACACTGGAAAGCTAAATTATTTTTGCCCTTCTGTTCACTAGAGAGAACTAATATAATTCAGTGATTCATGTGGGCCTTATCTTCCTCAGTGAGTGTCTCTGAGACCCAGGGACATATGTTTGCTGCTAGCAGCCACATAGCTTCATTTGCTTTGCTGTTAGTTCATCACCATCCAACAAATGTTTACTTACTAGGCACTAAGGACAAGGCAAAATCTTTTTCTCAAGAAACTTCTAAAGAGGGACAGAAAAAGTAAATAGTACAAAACAGTTATAAAATGAAATTATATATCATCTTCTACAAACCACATTAGTGGTGATGGGGGGGCAGGGAATCTCTGGGTGGAGAGAGAGAAATGAAGAATCAGATGAGATATGATACTTGAGCTCAGTTTTATGAATGGTGGACATTTACTGACATTTAAGAACCTCATTTGTTTTCTAAGTTGTTAACAAATGGATAGTAGCCTATTTTTTTTTTCTCATTCTCTCTCTCTAGCTGCCCTTTTGGCCTTGAAAATTATCTCTTTGGCCCTATGACCATATTACCCCTTTCAGGACCTCACAAATATTTTATTAAATATTTGTGCTCCCACTTGTGGCCTATGGTCCTTGAATCTTTTGTTCTATAGATGTAGGGTTATGAACAACAAGAGAATCTTCTTTGTTCTGTTTTACTAAATAATACCAACATATTTTATATGTAGAATACTGATGATAATGACAAATGAATCATCATATAAGATGAACCTATTAACTTTGTTGTGTTTTTATGAAAATGCTCAATTTGTTACCATAAATAGATTTTTTAAATTCCAGGCTCTATATATAATGTCTATATATAATGTTCATTTGTGTGTCTTATTTCAGTGCTGGACCTAAAGGAGACAACATTTATGAATGGAGGTCAACTATATTGGGACCCCCAGGATCTGTCTATGAAGGAGGGGTGTTCTTTCTTGACATTACCTTTTCGCCAGACTATCCATTTAAACCCCCTAAGGTCAGTATGAAGTATTGGTTTGTTTTTAGCAATTATGTATTGTTGTATATGTATATAGATATACATATTCTTAAATATATATACCTAAGAATGCATGTCTATCCTGTTAGCATAAACAACACCCCAGGGCTGAGTGTATATAAAGGAAACAATGTATAAAATTATAGGTTATTTCTCCACCCCAGCCCTTTATTCGTATTTCATTGCTTTTTCTCATCCTTTTTCATTGTCTCCTTTCAGTGGTATATGTTTAAATGTAACATTAGACACCATGTTATGGCTGAAAGTAGGGGAGTAAAATTGGGCTGGTGCCAGCCTAGAGCCCAAGCTGAGCCAGAGCCAAGCCCAGGAACCATACTGAAAGTGGAGGGACGCCCACCAAGGCAGGGCTTGTGGCACCAGCTATGGGACTTTGAGCTTTTGAGCCTCCATGGATCAGCTGCTCACATGAAGTAAATACATGCATTAGAATGGAAGGTGTGACCCACAAGACAAGAAATCATGCCAAAAAAATTCAGTAAAGAAGTGTTTTAAAAGTAGTCCATTAGCACAAATTATTAGTTAATGAAAACTCATACATAAATGACTAGTGAAAGTTGTAAAAATACAATATAATGAGAACATGGGAGAATTTTCACTTATTTAAATTGAGATTATGTACTTTAAGAATTTTTCGCATCCTTTCTACTGCCTATCAGTCAGTCATTCGATGAGTTTAAGTTTGTTCTCCACTTGGGAAAGTAAAAGTCCCTGAGGACACTGTTTGTATTGACTATCAAAAAAGAATTCTCATTTGACATGACTTACCTCTCAGTGCAGAGGGAAATAAAACTTATTTCAGTTGTAGGTTGGAGTAAACTATTTTAAAAAGCAAGAATAAAACTATACCTTCACCATGACTTTCTGTAATTCCGCTTCCTTTCTCCTACCTTCCCTCTCTTTTTTTTCCCTCACTCTTTCCTCCATTCCATTGATGCTTGCATATTGTTTTGATTTCAAATCAAAAATTCATAACTATTCATTTTACCAAGGAAGAAATCAAGGTGTAGAGAAACTAAACCACTTGCTCAGCATTGTGCAGCAAGCAATAATGGTGTCAGGACTTGAACCCAGGAAATCTGGCTCCAAAGCCCATGCTTTTTACTATATTACACAATACATTTTATCCAAGCTGACAGACTTGGTGGCACCAGTGACCACTCAGAGCTGCACTTGGTAGGTTTTCAGAGACAAAGCCATAATATATCTAATACTTATTTTCTCCTTTTACTGAATGGGAACCTTATATCTTTCCATCTACTTTGAACCAACTCATAAGTTACCTGGAATACCTGTTACACTGCCAGTGATGTGAGGACCTTCCTCTGACAGCCTCCTCAGTAAAGGAAGTTCAGAGCAGGGAGTGAGAGGGAAAACTCAGATCAGGCAGTTGTGCTACCCATAGGTCTGGTGCTGTCTGTCCTATGAAATATACATTTCAGAAAATGTATGGGCTTATCCAAGTTTTGCATAACAGAAATGTGTAGATTAAACAAAGCTAGAAGGGAAAGCTAATAAGTTAGATAAAGTAGTTCAGTTTCCAAAAAGGCCTCAATGGACTGGAAGGCTAGGCCAAAACTAACAAGATGGAATTTAAACTAGCTACATGTGTAGTAGTTCACTGAGAAGCAGAAAGAAATCATGATACAAGATAGAAGAAAAGACCTGCTTTATTTCCGTATAAATAAAATTCGTGGGCTCTTGGCTGACCAAAATTCTGTGGGAACTTGAGGTTCTTGAAGGCTTAAGGAGACATTTTTAGAGTAAAATCTTCAAGACTCTGAATCAGTCACAGTGTATCTCAAGTACCTCATTCACTTCTAAGCTCTTCATTTTAAGAAAGACAAATGAATAAACTGGGGAAAGAGAGGTTATATGCGGTCTTGAGTTTCTTCACTGGGTCAAGCACTGTACTGAGCATAAGCTATGCCAACTTATTTCTTCTCCAGAATACCCAAGTAAAGCTAGGATGTTCCCTTTCACAGATGATGAAGCTTAGGTTTTCCAGTATCATACAACCACGCATCTACTTGAACTTCTGACCCCAGGGACCATTTCCACTGAATTCCACACGGTTACCCTGGCGATGTTTATTAGTAAAAATAGGACATAGGAGGAATGTGATATCTGCCCTCAGATGTTTCAGGAACTCTGGTGTGAGTTGGGGTTAGACTTTATCCTAAATGGCTGGATGGAACAAAAATAGAATCAGGAGAGTGTTGGTTATGGGAAAATAGATTTCAATTCTATATGTGAAAAATCTGACCCATAGCTGGACAGTCTGCTTTTGAATAGCTATGCTTCTGAAATACTATGTTTCCCTTTACTGGGAGTATTTAAATAAAAAAATAAAAGAATATTACCAGAAAAAATTAAATCCCTCCACAGAATGGATTTGATTAGGCAATCTCTTAGGACAAAAATAAATAAATCAAACTTTGGTAACTCAAATCACAATTTAAATGCGCATTTATTGTTCAGAGTGCATCGTCACCACCTGATTTATCAGTTTTAGAAATTGAATTTTGTAGACAAGTATGTTACTCTAAGAGGGGGACATTTTGAGGGTGTCTTGAAAGCTGTTCTAAACAGATTTCAGAGTAGGTAGGAAAGAGGATCAAGCATGTTTCTAGTATCTCAGACAACCTATGCACAAGTCAGACATGCTGTCTTAATCTTCAAAACTGTTTCTGTTTGGTAATGGAAAAACAGTATCTGCCAATAGATATTTTCTGAAAAGGAAAGATAAAACTTGTGCCTAAGATGTTTAAAAACAAACAACAACAACAAAACTACATGCATACATTGAAATAGCCGTGTGAGAATAAAGCTCTTTAATATTAATGTTTAAAAACTTTTTAATATAGTTTGTTCTTTCATTACAAATTTCATCAAATACATTTTAAAATAAATCTTAACTTGGAGGTTATTTCAGAGAGTATTATATGTTTTATGGGGGGTGGTATAAAATCTAACTGTGAATTACTTGCTAATGAAATGTCAACTAATAGGAAAGTTCTTACCTGCTTTCAGACAATGAAGTAGATAATTTAGGTCTGTCAGATTTTCAGAATCTTTATTTTGTTATCCTCTATAGACTTTAACCTTAAATTGTTAATAAAAGGTTAATAGTGAATAAAATAGCTAGTTAGTTATAGTAAGAAGCAATAATATCCAGCATTTAAAAGCCAGAGATAGATCTGTAACTAAAGTTCAACAAGGAATTCTACAATTTTATTCTAACTAGATTGTTATCATTGATTTGTTTTTGTTGATTCTGTTGCTGCTCAGAAAAGAAAGTTGACAGTGTCTCCCAGGATTTTCAGAAAGAGCAATGGTTTGCATGTGTAAACGCCACTGCCTACTCATTTGCTCTGGCCTTGAGGATAGAACACACGTATCACAGAGTAACATGAATTAACTTGTTTTTAAACAGAGTTCATACATTCATGTAAAGCCTTGGCCATGAATCAAATGCTTTCATGCACATTAAACTGCCTATTTACATCTCTAGTTGAACATCCAACAGTCACCTCAAACTTAACTGTTCCAAAATAAACTATTGATTACACAACCTTACCCCACTCCTGCCAAAGCAGCTCCTCCAATCTTCTCCATCTCAATGAATGGAAACCAGTTTTCTAGTTGCTAAAGCTAAAAACTTTGCAGTTACTCTTGACTCCTCTCACAGCCTAGCTAGACCCAGTCTTAGTGGCTCAAAGTAAATATTTAAAATAAATCCAGAATACAACCATTTCTCATCACTTCTCCCTAGTAACACTATGGCCTGAGCCACCATCAACTGTTCCCCTCCCCCAGATTATATTGGAGGTCCCCTATCTGGTCTCTCTGCTTCCACCCTTTTCCTCCTGCAGTGTATACCCCATATGATCCTTTTATAATGTAAGTCATATTATGTCAATTTTTTTGCCTGAAACCCCTCAGTGATTCCCAATTCACTGAAGAAAAGCACACAAAATACTGTAGAGTCACCCTGTTCACGATATACTTTTCAAAATCTCCAGTTCACTTTTGACTCAAATACTCTAAGCATGCTCCTTCCACAGAGCCTTTGCATTTACCCTTCTGTCCACCTGCATTGTCTTCCCCCACAAATTCACATGACTCACTCCATTTCTCCTCTCACCTGTCTGCTCAACTGTCACCTTCTCAGAGAAGCTCTTGCATGACAGTTCCCAACCACCTGTGCTCCATGTGAGGTTTCCCTCCATCCCATCATACGTGATTTGTCTTTGTTTATGAATTTTATTACATTTTCCTTTCTCCAGTTAGCACGTAAGTTCCAAGATCACAGGGACTTTGTATATTTTGATGTCACTCCTGTATTCCTAGCACCTAGAACAATGCCTGATGATTCAGTAGGCATTCAACAAGAATTTGTTAAATCAATTTAATCCATACAACTTTGCTATAAGACAGTTTTATTACCTCCCACCTGACTTCATAGATCAGCAAACTGAGGCCCAGTAAATAGATTTTAAGTGGCATACAGGTCACATGGCAAGTAGGGTAGCAGAATTGGAATTCAAAACCGGTTCTGAATTGAATCTTTCATTCCCCAATTACAGAGAAGATTTAAATTGCTTATTTCTTTGGAAGAAGGAACATTTGTCCTTGGATTTTACACTCTGGTGTAAGTTAATTATTTATCAGATTAATTCTCTAAACCATGTAAGTTGGGAAGGAGATGAAAGAGCTGATACAAGGAGGAAAAAATGTTAGGAAGAGATTTAAGTGCTTGTCTTTCAGTTTGGCCAGTGGCCCTCTTTCCAAAGGGCCTTTCCTCCAATGTGTTGTTCCTAATTCACAGACACTACGTATTAATTCTTTGTTGAACAATAAATACAGACTTCTGGATTTTGCTAGCCCTAAGCTAAAGGAGAAGTCATTTCACATTTTACAGGTCATTTTCACAATTAACTAGTGTCAAAAGCTACCTT